AAAAGGTCCCCCTTGGATATAAATAATAAAAAAAGTCCTTCTGGTTTGTGAGACTGAACCACTTTAAAAGTAGCCAATCATTATCGTTCTATAACAGTGAAAAAAGTTTTTTTTTTCGATTTTCCTCTTGATTTGACATTTGACCCGGACTCGTACTTTGCGTCCGCTCGGTGTTCTTCGTTAATTCGTAAAATGTAAGTGCTCGAGGGAAGTTCTGGGTAAAATACTTTACACCGATTTTTAAGATATGTAAAGAATTTTGTAAACAAAATGAAAATAATGAAATAGGCATATGACAACAGCGGATGCTATACCCTTCTGTGTCTCTTAGAATATGTTTTATTCACTTTGTAGTTACATGTCCTGTTATCTCTGGTACTTATAATAGTTAAAATTTTGGTGGAGGAACAAGTCATTGGTATGTGTCTTGTTACTCTGATACCTAATTGTTTCAAAGTTTTGGCAAATGATGTAGATTTAAAATCTAGGTTCAACGCTAAAATAAATAAGTACCAACAATTAATATAACTTCCAAGTTATAAATCTAGATTTAAGATCTCTTTTGCCTGGGATGTCAAACAATAGTTCAAAGCCAAACAATTTCTTCTGAATTTGTAGACAAAGTTTAAATTTTGGTGGAGGAACAAGTCAAAGTAAAATAATTTTAAATTATCATACCCATAAAGTACCATAAATTATTATTATTATTATTATTGTCCTCTAGACTTAATCTCGGCTCTGGAAGAGGACACATCAATCTAGTTTAGAATTAACTACATATACTTATCTACAATTGATACAGCTTCTAACTACTAAATCTAGAATTACGATCCATTTTGAATTGGTGAAAAAAAGCAGAAAATAACAGTCAACGACTATTTTACGACATGCTTTGTATTAGAAATCTCTTAAGATATTTGATAACTCCTCTTCACATGAGTACCTACTTACTATGTCACTGCCTTTAGGTACCTTAAATCACTACCTACAATAACCAGAACACGATGAAATTGCAAAAGCGCGAATTAGAAATAAATATCATTGACTGTAGTCTAGAGTAGAAAGGAGTGCAGTAATTTAAATTGCAGAACGTAGTACAGGTTCAAGAGGTAGACATTTTATTTATACCTCATACTTCTATGCTTATTTGTAGTTAAAATGAAAATTTTAATACATCTGATCAACCTAATAAAAGTTTTCGTTTAGATTTAATCTTGTTTAATTGTTCTTTACAGTAATAAAACTTTTTTTTGACAGATAAGTTAGCCGTATCGTATATATTTTAACTGATTCGAAATTTTGTATTAATGTATTATTATAATTTTATAGTTAGGTATATAAGAATGGCGAGTACATTAGAAAATAATTCAAGCACAAGTACGCGTAAACGACCTAGTGGACATGAAGAAATGGATGTTCCTATGTTTGAAAATTGGTTTTAGAACATTATAGAAAAAAATTACAGCCAACTCCGATATTGTTTTGGATAATGAATCCTATCACAGTCGATTAAAGGATTTACTACCTACAACAAGATGAAAGAAGAAGATATTTCAAAATGGCTTCATTCTAAAAATATTATCAGTTCTCCTAAATCCTTGAAGGCAGAATTACTTGTAATAGCAAGGCAACATAAAAATAAATTCAAAAAATATATTATAGATCAGATGGCCCGAGGAAAAGGAATTGAAATTCTCAAATTGATTCCTTACCACGCAAAGTTAAATCCAATTGAACTGATCTGTGTAATATTAGGTATATTGATAAAAGATTAAGGGTGTATTTAATGGTGATCAAACATGAACATAAAAACATCAACAACGAACTACCAAAACTATGAAGATTAGAGATATGGAGGCGAATCGGTAATGATCAAATTTCAAATTTCTGTCCTTTTTGTTAAGTTCGCTAAATTGACTATAGTTGGCAGGTCGAACGTCACTGCCGTTCATTTTCTATATAAGTAAGTCAATGTAAAATGAAGTGAATTTTGAAAAATTAGTGAAAAGAATCGAAATAATGTGAAAAAAGTACCGAGTACAAGTAACATGAGTGACAAAAACACATTTATACAGATATGACTAAAGCATTTGACAGACTTGACCATGGAATTTTAGTAAAAAAACTGTCTGCTTTTGGACTCTCAGATAGTCTTATTGACTTACTAAAATCATATTTGTGTAACCGTTCACAATACGTTCAGCTCAATGGGTTCAAGTCTGTTAAGTACCTTGCCACATCGGGTGTCCCTCAAGGGTCGAATCTTGGCCCACTCTTATTTAATATTTTTATAAATGACATTGGTAGTGTAATTAATGTGAATTATCTACTGATGACCTTAAAATTTATGCTTCCATAAATAGTATTGCTGACTGCGAGCGACTTTCTGGAAATCTAAAACGAGTTAATGAATGATGCCATAGAAATAATTTAAAATTAAACCCAGCCAAGTGCAATGTAATGTCGTACTTCTTAAAGTCAGATCCAACTTTTTACCAGTATATTGTTGATGAAACTCCTTTAAACAGACCAAAAAACTTCGCCGATTTAGAAGTCCTATTTGATTCAGCACTTTCTTTTACTGACCATGTCGATAGTATTGCATCCTCATCTAATCGTACATATGGATTCATAATCAAAAACAGTCGTGATTTTAAGAAAGTAGATAGCATAAAATGTCTGTATTATGCTTTTGTTCAATCCAAGCTTGAATACGCGTCCATTGTATCAAGTACATATTGGTCGTTTGGAAGGAATTCAGAGCCGATTCCTAAAATACTTAAGTTTTAGACATGATCTAGTTTTTCCACCCATTGGCACCCCACACGACGCCTTATTAAATAAACATGGATTTTCAAGTCTCGATATAAGGCGAAAATATTTTTCTGTAATTATGCTGCATAAGGTCATAAGCAATCAAATAAACTGCGAATGTCTATTACATATGCTTAATTTAAAAGTTTCACGTCTAGCCTCAAGATATACTGACTCATTTT